TGAGAATTAACTAGGTAGGAGAAATAATACCGCTGGGGTTACATTGACCGTTGGTTGTATAATAAAATACATATATAGTATCAAATACATAATATACATAAAATACAAGACAGTAAATCATTCAAAAAAATGTTCATTTATAGATCCGTTCATCGATGAATGCAGGAAAGTCGGTTTTAATGTCTGTAAGTTCTAATGGCAGGGGCCCTGACCACATTCTTAACAGCAATAAAACCAACTTATCTGATCATACTCATGGTTACCAAGACAATCTTCCCCTCAATGGGGGATGGGCCCACAGATCCCAGAGTGAGTTTTGAGGATGATTTGGTACATATACCAAATAATTGTGTCTGATTTGTCTCAGTCGTTACACCAGGGTGGATCAGACGGTTCAGGAGGCCAGGGTGGATCAGACAGTTCAGGGGGCCAGGGTGGATCAGACAGTTCAGGGGGCCAGGGCGGACCTGACAGTTCAAGTGGCCAGGACGGCACGGCCTCGGAGGCCTTAATTAGGTACCTACTGACCCTAAGGTCATAGAGGTTGGTCTGATCAACAATGTTCTGAATCAGTACATCAGAAGAGTCAAGAGCAGCAGCATCACCGATAGGCCCAGGATTCTAAGTGAAGGGAATGTTTTTTGGCTGCCAGTTAATTTCATACCACTCAGGATCATCAGGTTCAGCTGGATCAGGATGGTTCACAGTGGCCCTTGTTTGGTAAGCAGCAGCACCATGTTGATGTACTTAACGCATCTGGCGTTTGCCTCACAAAAGGCATGGAACTAAGAACAAGAACCTGGATAGACATTCAATACTAGACAAAGACGGTCTTGGGGGAAGGGATGGAGGGCCAGGCCCGTGCCGGGGATTGGGACCAGGATATGGCAATGGCGGGCCTGGGCCACAGAGCGTGGGTGGCACTGGCAGTGCAGGAAGCCAGGGTGGATTAGACAGTTCAGGAAGCCAGGGTGGATCAGATCGTTCAGAGGGCCAGGGTGGATCAGACCATTCAGAGGGCTAGGGCGTACCTGACAGTTCAGAGGGCTAGGGCGGACATGACAGTTCAGAGGGCTAGGGCGGACCTGACAGTTCAGAGGGCCAGGGCGGCATGGCCTCTGAGGCCTTAATTAGGTACCTACTGACCCTCCCCAAAATTTTCTTGGGACGAGACTCTGTAATGGCAGCTGCCTCTGGCTGTGCAGGCATGGCGTGAACGGTCTCAGGCTCGGCAGGACTGACGTGAAGAAGCTCAGGCTCGGCAGGACTGATGTGAAGAAGCTCAGGCTCGGTACTTCAGAATTTTACATAGACACAATTAGAAAGAACAGAGCATTTAGTACATTGTGTTTCAGAGTGTTAGAATGTTAGGCCTGAAAAAGGAAGTAACGTTTAGATGTTAGAATCATGGTTAGTTTAAAATATAGTTTACAATCTTATCTATTAAAATCCACGACATCTGCATACAGGTTGGTCTGATCAACAATGTTCTGAATCAGTACATCAGAAATGAACAACTCAGTAAAGTCTACAGGTTGTTCTGACTCAAGAGCAGCAGCATCACCGATAGGCCCAGGATTCTAAGTGAAGGGAATGTTTTTTGGCTGCCTTTTTTTATAAGTGGGGATTTAAGTTGTCTGTGAAGAAGTCACAAATTATTATATTTTCCAACAAGAAAGTAGATAATGAGTGGAAGTTAAGGATATACAACAAGGAAATGGCAAGAGGGGCATCAGTTAGATTCTTGGGAATGTGGCTGGATAATAGACTTACATGGAAAGAGCATAGGCCTATTGATAAAATAGTGAATAAGTGTAAAAGAGTTTTAAATGTAATGAAATGTATGGCAGGACAAGAGTGGGGAGCAGATAGTGGGGCGCTTCTAACAGTATATGTAGCAATGATAAGATCTGTGCTAGATTATGGAAGTATGGCATATGGGTTGGCGGCTAAATCACAGCAAATGAGTATTTAAGAATGAGTATTTAAGAATTAGGTATGGAGATAATATACGGATATACACAGATGCTTCCAAAAAAGGAGGGAGAATAGGAGTGGCAGTCAATGTGCCAAAGTTACTGGTGAAGAAAAAAGCTAGAATTAGTGATCAGTTGTCAGTATATACAGGTGAGCTGATGGCTATTCTGCTAGCAGTACAACTAGTTAAGGAAAATAAAATAAAAAATGCGGTCATATGTTCAGATTCATATTCAGCAATAATTAGTATCGATAATCAAAAATCAGAATCAAGACCAGATTTAATCATGGAAATCCTTCAAAATCTCTTTGAGTTGAAGCAAAGTAAAATAGAAGTACAGTTTATGTGGGTCCCAGCTCATGTGGGAATTAAAGGGAATGAAGAAGCAGATAAATTAGCTAAACAAGCAGTAGATGACGAAATGGTAGAAATTGAGATACCACATAGTATAAAAGAAATAAAATCATTAATAAAAGAAAAAGTGATTAAAAAGTGGCAACAATATTGGGATAATGAGAGTAAAGGGAGACATTTATATATGATATACAAAATAAAGTGGGAAAAGGTAGAAAAAGAGGGAGAAATAGAAGGGAGGAAAGTATAATTACAAAACTTAAGGCCTGTTCACACCGTGACGAATTTCGCGTGCGATATTCGCCGACGTTTAACGCCTCGTGACTAAACAAAGGGCGCCAATGTGAGTGTGCACACCGACGCGAAAAACGCCACGCGTAGAAGCGTCATTTTTTTTAAAAATGCCTCGGGTTGTTTTTTTTTAGTTTGACGCGCCGCGTCAAAAACCATCCGACCAATGAGATTGGCGCTTTTGCTAACGTGTCTGGAGCTTCTGGAAGTTACAGTAAAACACAACTTGGGGGCGCTCAAACACAAAACGGTCTTGCCGAGCACACATACGTAACGGCGAAGAAGATATACGCCAAGTAGCGTCTACACTGCCGGGAAGAAATAAGACGAGGAAGATGCAAGGCAAGATGAATGTAGAGCTGCTGGTCTCGTTGGTGTCGGAACATAAAGAACTATAATATAGTTCTTTATATTATGTTATAATAGTATAATAGAAATAGTTCTCTATATCATATTATGACAAACGCGACAGCGACTACAACAATCTTGATAAAAGAGAACTGTTATGGAGTGGTATTGCAGAGCAAATGGGCGCCATCTAATGTCAGGGAATGAATTTCCATGTTCACTCGGCTCATCGTCAGCGAAAATCGCTTGGGTGTGAACACAAAAAACGCGTTGAAAAACGTTGGCGAATAACGTGCGCCGATATTCGTCCTGGTGTGTACGGCCCTTAAGAATGGGACATACAGGTTTGAACAAAACATTATATTTAATATCTAAGCATCCAACGGGACTGTGTGAGAAATGTGGACAGAGTGAAACTGTGGAACATGTGATTCTTAATTGTAAGGGTTATGATGAGGAAAGAGAAGTGCTAAGAGAAGAATAGCACTTAGGCTTTTGCAACAGGACGCGGCATGCGCGGCGCTGCGCTATGAAACCCATTCATTTCAATGGCTTGCACCACGCGAGGACGTTTTGTTGCTTCGTCGACCAAAGCGCAAGCGGATCTAGCTAGACCGGAAACAAAACAACAGGCACGTCGCACACACTTGTTTGGGCTTGCGAGCTGGCCAAATAGTAGGTTAACGTTACGTTTTGAGTGGATGACGAGCGCGAGACGCCGAAATGGATGCCAATAAGATTCTGAATGGAAAGTTTACTTTTAAAAAGTTGCCAAATGGTTCCATTGACGAGACCAAAGGGATCTGTGTGTTTTGTCGTTGTGAACTGAGCTATGATATCGTCATCGCAGCACGTCCAGTCTGAAACACCACTTGATGATGGCCAAGCACACACACACACACACACAGCTGATGCGAATTCTCCGCTCCTCGTCAATATCAGGACCTCGTCAGTATTTCTTTCACCCTTTTATTGATGGACATTGTGTAAGAGATTTGCTCAAAGTGAGAATGTTAGTGTGAAATTGAACACAGTATATGCCAATGTTGTTTTCAATAAAAAAACATTTGCACAAAGCAAGCCGATCCACTTTTCCATGTTGATAAGAGCATTAAAATGAGAAAAATAATGAGACAAAAAGAAATCAAGAGACATTTAGTATAGATAAAAATGTGCGATTAATCGCGAGTTAACTATGACATTAATGCGATTAATCGTGATTAAATATTTTAATCGTTTGACAGCACTAATATTTACACTTTTTTTTTGTGTGTGATCAATTATTTATTTATTTTCTTACAATCATTGTTTACACATTGGAGAGGAAAAAATAGGCCGATTACATCATAATTGAATATACATAGGCACATTAAAATGTTACTTATTCTGATGCCAGTTTCTCTTCTCCTCCCCATACCCAGCCCAAAACCACCCTCCAACCCCTAACAAGATTCGCTCAAGGTATTGAACTGTGGTGGCAATTTTAATGATATTCATTGATCTTTAGTAAAATATAGATGATTCAAAGAATGTCACATGTGTGTCTCTCACTTGTAGTGAGAGAAGATTCTGTTTATGTACCTGGGGAGGCAGAAGAGGGAGACACTCCAGAGAATAGACGAACAAGGACCTCTGACCTAGATGTCAGAAGGTCATTTGGTGCAGGGGAGCTTAGTGGGCCAACTAGTGACGTCTATGGAAAACTACTGGGAGGAAGGCTCTGGGGGGAAGAAGGCCTTGAAACTAAGATAAAAGCTAGTTCAGTCTGTCTGGGGGGGTGTCACTCTTCTGCACAGGGTAAAAACTGTGTATTAGACTGCTCCTATTCTTGCAAGAATAAATACTTCTATTTTATATAATTTGACTATGAGTGTCTCTTACGCAGTGATGTTTGTTTGAGATGAATTTTTGCCACAACAGGACAAAAAAAATAAAATAAAAACAATTATATTTACACTTTTGAAGCTTCACCTCTTAAATATTTGTAGTCTTCCATTCATATAAAAAAAAAAAAAAATATTGACAATCTCAATATTTTATCTAGCAAAATTTACCTGCATGTATTTGATATAGAATTGACTGTTGATCGCTTGCAACAGTTTTTCATGTGAGTTTGAATGTTTGATAAATGTCTGAAACTCTCTCCACACTGAGTACAGTCGTACGGCTTTTCTCCAGTATGAATTCGCTCGTGTGATTTCAGGTGTGCAGACTGAGTGAAACTCTTGTCACAATATGAGCACTTGTAAGGTTTTTCTCCAGTATGAATTCTTTGGTGCTGTTTCAGATATTCAGCTCTAGTAAAGCTCTTCCCACAGTCACAACACACATGATCTCTCACTTCATCATGTGTTTTCTGGTGCAGTTTTAAACAGTTCAGTCTTGAAAAACTCTTTGCACAGAGAGAACACACATAAGGCTTCTCACCTGAATGAACTTTCAGGTGTCTCTTTAGCTTTGATGATGAAATAAAATATTTACCACACTGATCACAGTTAAATGGTTTTTCTCCAGAATGAATTCGCAGATGTTGTCTCAAACCTGTTGAATCTCTGAAACTTTTCTCACACTCAGTACAGTAGTACGGCTTCTCTCCAGTATGAACTCGCTCGTGTGATTTCAGGTGTCCATAATGAGTGAATCTCTTGTCACAGTAGGAGCACTTGTAAGGTTTTTCTCCAGTATGAATTCTTTGGTGCTGTTTCAGATAGGCAGCTGTAGTAAAGCTCTTCCCACAGTAAAAACAGACATGATCTTTCACTTCATCGTGTGTTTTCTGGTGCAGTTTAAAACTGTTACGTCTTGAAAAACTCTTTCCACAGAGAGAACACACATAAGGCTTCTCATCTGAATGAACTTTCAGGTGTGATTTTAGATGTGATGACGAAATAAACTCTTTACCACACTGATCACAGTTAAATGGTTTTTCTCCAGAGTGAATGCGCAGATGAAGTTTGAGTAAGGATGAAAATATGAAACTCTTCTCACACTGAGTGCATGGATACGGTTTCTCTCCAGTGTGAATTCTCATGTGTGTGTTAAGGCTTCCTTTTTGTCTGAAACTCTTTCCACACTGTGAGCAGGAGTGCAGCTTTCTGACTTTTGTTCCTTGAGTTTTGAAGTCACAGTGTTTCTTTACTTCATTCAGTTCTTCTCTTAGCTCTGTTATTTCCATCTGATCTAAAATGAACATATTAAGTAGTTATAATCAGTTTAAGGAGGATCATTTCTAGGAAAATTCAAGTGAACACAAGCAGACAACAAGAGAATAGGTTTCTGTCTGTGTGAGAATAAAGTAGCAGATCTTTGATGTCGAAGGTTTGTTATATCAATCTCATTAATTTGAATAATAAAAATCTATTTGACACATTGCTATATACAAGGTTAGGATCAATTAGATACATTTCTACATCATTTATCATCAATATACTGCTTATTTCACAGCCACCAAAGCATCAACAATGAAGAATCAAGAATGGACACCAACCTATTTGTTCCTCAGTATCTTCATGTTTTATTCTGGATGGTTCTGGATCACTCATGTCTTCAATCTCCTCTTTAATAAACTCCATCTTTAACAGTCACACAGATTTCAGCTGCTACTCCTGGAGTTTGTCCTTCTCTTGTAGGATGATGGGAATATTCACAGTATTTATTGGTGAATTGTTGTGGGAGGGGCTTCACTGCAGGTGTGAACTGTGATCACTGTGTGATACTGACGCCCACAGGACCAGATCTGGAAAAAACAAAAGATTTTTAAAATAATTTATACAGGATTACTTTAAAAACACATATGATCCATTTCCCCACCCTATTCTATGGCGAGACGAGCTGCTTATATAGACCCCTTTTCAGTTGGTAAACATGGTGACGTTTTTTTCTGTGGGCGGAGCTTAGGTGGAGGCAGAACGATCCCTCTGGCCGCTTCACTAACGTTAGTTTGCAAGTTTTGTTAGCTTGTTTTTTAACAATGACTGGAGAAAATTCGATTTTATCTTAATGTGCAAGGTCACTCAGTGTCCAGGACCGCGATTGTTATTTGCAAAAGTTAATTTTAACAGACGGAACCAGATTGGCCGACCTGTACTGTACACGCTGTCAATGGATGGACGATCTGACAGGATTAACGTTAACGCTTCCTCCGGTTGAGTGGCCTGACTTCTACACCTAACGTTACCTAATAGAGAAACCGAGCGTAAAGAGAAACTGAGGGCATATAAATCTTTAGATGCCTATAACTATGTGCTGAATGGTCATGTACAAGACTTGTGTGTGTACGATCCGCAGTTCTGCCGAGCCAGCGCCGAAAAGACGACAATGTAAAGAGTGACATTACGGTTTAATGTTAATGAGGTGAATATTTTCTAGAAATAAAAAATCCAGATACAGCATATTCATTTTTCATTGATTCTTGCACCCAACAACACAACAAGATGACATTTAATAATAATAATAATAATAATAATTTAAGCTCCTTATTATGTAGCCGAATATGTGCTGGTTTGTATTGGCCGCCTCCAGTTGTCCGTTTGTTTTGCCTCCAGCTAGCGCCGTGACGTAACTGTGACGTCGGCGCAAAAGGGGTCTATAGGCACATGCCCCGCCCCCTTTGGCAGGCTGTGCGCTCGGTTCAGGATGCGTTCCGATTGGTTCGTGCAGATATGCAGCATCACCATTGGTTCATGCAATTCTCAGCACTGCGTTAATTTAATAAAAGGCTGAAATATTAGGAGAAAATTATTAGGCACATTGATTTTCTGATCGTATTTTTTTTTTCAGGAACATTTTACCAAATCCAAATTCTATTACTCTAAATAACTACTATAAATTTTGTATTTTATAATTTATAAGTGATATATAATTGTAGATGAAGGCTGGAAATGAAAATGCCTTATATTCATGTGTAAATAATTATTAGCCATCTGATAATAAAGGCTTTTTAATTTTATGTTTATTACATAAACATATTTGATAATTGTACAGTAAGGGAGGTATAGTCAATTTCACCTGGAGTAAGTCAGACTGATCACTAGGAAAGCACTACGCACTTTGGAACATGATAAAATACTTCAGGTGAATAACTATAAGTTTTACATAAAACAATATTTGTGTACTGTACATACAGACAGTCCCTAAAGCAGCCTAGGTAAATACACAGCAAATATCTGCGTATAGACATGGCACTGTCTATACGCAGAGACAGTGCCACTACACAATGGGTGTAAAAAAGGCGACTATTAGGGTTATATTCAAGGGTTTTAGTTGCTTTACTATATGACAAAATTGACGCATTCGTCGCAGCATCCGTCCAGCGAGCCAATCAGCGCCGCGGAAAAGACGTGCAAGTCAGTGATCCCCGCCCACTGAATTGAGTCTGACTGATCGAGAAAGCGGACGGATGCAAGCTGTACTGTAACGATTTATCTTTACTAAAGTTGTGTGCGTGCCTGTAAAGTAAGTAGCATTGTTTATTGTTATATTTAGAAGACATAATCTATGTGCCTTTTAGTCATTATATGGTTTATTTAATATATATATATATATATATATATAAGGGCTGAACGATTTTGGAAAATAATCTAATTGCGATTTTTTTAACCAATATTGCGATTGCGATTTAAAGCAGCACTCAGTAGGAATTCCGTTTTTTGTCAAACAGCGACCCCTAGAGTCGCTGTGGAGTACTTGTACTGTCGTGAATAGCACTCAAGCCTTGTTTATACTCGACGCGTCCGCAAGAGCGCGAAGTGCGCGCGGCAAAAATGACGTAATTGCGGTGTGGGCGGTCGTGCGCGTTGGGTGCGCAAGACCCCATTTCGCCTGGCGGTGTGCACGGCACTTTTTGTAACATCGCGCGCGGCGCCGCATCCGAAGATGAACGACTTCGAGCCGAATCTGGCCGAACTGGTATGTCTGTACCACCATGTTTATGATCCTTCTATACACAGAGACATTTGCATTGATGGGCGACCATAAAAGCCTCTCATTTTGTGAATAGGAACACATTAAGCACCCAGTTTGCACTTGTATAAAGTAACTTAACTGCTTACATTTACAAAATAAGCCTACAATAGCAGAAGTAAGCCCTGCTGATGAAATTAAGGTTTAAACACTCTTCAATAAGGCTTCAGTTGTTTACTAGTTTACATGCAGTGAAAGTACAATAAACCTACTGCATTTATTACTCTTTTTATATGAATCAGAAATTAATAAACTACTAATAAATGGCAAACTACTTCTTCACTGCTGATTCCTGGTGGTTTAGAGGAGAATTACTCCGAGTCGCCCCCTGTCGTTTCACAGAATAGCACAACGGCGAGCGCGTCAAGTATAAACGCCTCGTCCATATGGAGAGGTGCGCGCGCAGTCAGCGGAGACTCGCGCTCGTGCGGACGCGTCGAGTATAAACAAGGCTTCACGCAGAGATGGCTCGCACTCACGGCCGGATCCCCTCCCCCTGTACACCGGTACCTGTTCAGTAGGATGGACGCTGTAACGAGTGGAAATAAGGTATGGCCCCTTTAAGAGATGCGCGCGCCCAACACCACATGTATACGGCGCCGAGTTATTTCTGTTTGATGCTCATTTTATCAGGATTTGATCAGATCTGTTTTTTGCCGTAAAGCAATTCGTTTTGGCTCGCCGGCCCAAAGTTGCAAGGGTGGTTTTGCGGCTCACAGGCATCAGGGGGGTGCGAGACGACCACCATTCAACACGAAATCAGTAATATAAACATTACAATGACTCCAAAGCTGTTCGGTTAAGGTAAAAAAGTTACTTAGTTCACCTTTAATATGCGATTACTTATTAAGTTCTTTATCTTCTGTATTATTCGACAAAGACAAGCAATAAATCATTGTATAGTAGGGATGGGAATCTTTAGGCACCTCATGATCTACTTTTTTTCGTAATTAATATTATTAATAACAGTTAAAAACTTTTTTTTGTGTAATTATACGTATATTTAAAAATAATTATATAAAAAAAACATGTTAAGAATTTTAAATAGGCTATATAAACGAATATAACTTCAAAATATAAAAGCTAGTAAATAAAGAGGAACAAAAAAAACATATTACAAGCAATAAACAAAGAGTGCTTTCAGTATTTAAAAGTAGGCTGTCTGAACGTTTTCCATTCAAGAGCTGTGAGTGATTTGTCTTCTCAGTTTAGATACGATAAGCTGCTTTCACACTAATGCACAGATTTATTTTGAAATATTGGAAATATAATATGTGGTTTATCCTGTTGGTTTAAGACATGACGGACCGTGTTTACATCCATTTTGCGTCATAAAAGCATTTTGAGATGCCAGTACATTAACCAACGAGTCGCTCACAGCCGCGCGACCGCTCTTCACAAAGCGCGCGTGAGTATTTTAAATTGAAAGCAGCCTTCTCGGTAATTTTCATATTTTAATATATAAGCCAACTACATTCCAAAAGACATAAATAATGCCTTAGTAGCAGGGGATTTGTGAGGAAAATTCCGGCCGAGTCCGCGCACTGCAAGAGTAACATCAAGCAAAGCGGCAACCAGTGCGATAAAGCCTGCGAATGTCCTTGTAATTCGCTTAAACCTTTCCGAACTTTATAAAAGATTATTTTTCGTAAGGTTCGAGCGGTTTCGCGCGTGTGTGTGTGTGTGTGTGTGTGTGTGTGTGTGAGAGAGAGAGAGAGAGAGAGAGAGAGAGAGAGAGAGAGAGAGAGAGAGAGAGAGAGAGAGAGAGAGGGGCAGAATACGGCTGTTTGTAAAGCACACGCAGCGTCATCACGCATCTGTTTAAAAACTAAGCTCAGACTCGATTCTGAAATTCTCTGAATATATTATTATACATTATATATTAATTATATATATATTACAACATAATATCACATAAATCAAACATAAACTGTTCTTTCCTGTATGCCAGGCCTATGCGTGCCAAGTCGATGCTACATCTGCAGACTGCTTTTCTCTCCCGTGTCACGAGTGTAATCACAACTTTTGCGGTTTAAAAATCGCGTTTCATCATATCGCGATATTATCGCAAATGCAATTAATCGTTCAGCCCTAATATATATATATATATATATATATATATATATATATATATATATCGCTCACTTCTAGAGTTAAAGCACTCTTTGGGCGCATGCGCACTACTAATGTGCTAGACAGAGCGGCTCCATTTCTGTCCTCAGCGTGCAAAGGTGTCGAATTTCAACCGCTCAGTATTAAAGCTGCCGTCGGCAACATTTTTTTGATCATATTCAGTGAAATCGACACTATAATCTGACAGAACAACATAAATAAAGTGGTTTTAGAAAAAAACCCGAGCTTCTAACTCCACCTGGAGCTTGTTATTTGTTTTGCAAAAATCCACAGCTCCCGGTTCATCGGGTCCAATCAGCGCAGGGGGGTGTGAGATCTGACTGTCAATCACAGATCGGGCACACGCCACCCCTCGCGCACGTTACAATCACATGCACACGCCTGAAGTTCGCGGAGTAACGAAGAGTGATGGCGGAAAAACAAGTAAGCTCATTTAGAGTATAAATGACGTTAGCAATTGCAATCTATCGGTAGATTAGCCAGGGCAGCATACCTCCAAATACTCCATGGTGTTGATGGATGCTGATGAGACGGGCGCGTTCCAGGGCTCTCAAGTTTTGAAGACAGGTAAGAGTGACACCCAGCCGACGGGGGGGTTGGATACATTTTTGTCATTGGTTGTTGCGTTAAATCTTACCCAGA